CTAAATTATGTATCGGAAAGATTTTTGTTGAGTCTTACTGATAAGAATGGAGAAATTAAAAGGGTAATCGTGGTACCAGAGATGCCTGAGGAACAAGAACTGGCAAAATGGAAAGGCACATAATCAATACATAAATGTGGAATATAAAGTGAAAATAGGAAACCATGGATGCTTTTCAGGCACAAATGATAAATCTTATTACTCTGAAAATGTTTTCATGTTTTGTTATTGAATTGGTAAAGACAGTATGGTAATAGGAATAATATGCTAATGCATTAAAAAAATGAATGTAAACTTGAGAATTAAACATGAAAATGTGTTGAAATATACAAATTATTGTAAAAATAATACTTTTTAGATGCAGATGCTTTATATAAACTATAAGCCCAGATATTAGTATTTTAAAATTTCATAGAACTGAATAATACTATCTTTACATACATATTAAAAAATAAACATTTAAAAGGCATATTTGACACTGTATAGTCCATCTACGATTTTAACCAGTTCTTCAAATTTTTATTTGCAAAATGATTTTATATTTTCTAGGCACTATTTACTAATTAATAATGAATTGATGCTTTTGAACTGTGGTATTGGAGAAGACTCTTGAGAGTCCCTTGGTCTGCAAGGAGATCCAACCAGTCCATCCTAAAGGAAATCAGTCCTGAATATTCATTGGAAGGACTGATGCTAAATCTGAAACTCCAATACTTTGGCCACCTGATGCAAAGAACTGACTCATTTGAAAAGACCCTGATGCTAGAAAAGATTGAAGGCATGAGGAGAAGGGGACAACAAAGGATGAGATGGTTGGACGGCATCACCTACTCAATGGACATGAGTTTGAGTAAACTCCGGGAGTTGGCAATGGACAGGGAGGCCTGGTGTGCTGCAGGGCACGGGGTTGCAAAGAATCGGACATGACTGAGTGACTGAATTGAACTGAACTGAAAGATGAGCATGTTATTTCCTTACCAATTATTAGACTGAAAGATTTTTCTCCTTATGGATATCTGACATCAAGAAAAATAAATATAAATACATTCAAAAAATTTATAGCAATAACATTTAAAATTGTCTATCAACTCTCATGATGTTTCTCAGAGTAAGTTTTGTTTCTGGATACAAATCCAATCACAAGAGTGCATCCTAAATCAAAAAGTAAGCCAATAGTTACCCCCAAAGTCCCTCTGGATTAAGTGTGCCTACTCTTCAAAAAAAACAGATGTTTGAAAACTAAAGAGATCATGTCTGAAGGGAGTAAGGAATTGGCCCTGGGTTATAATCCTGGATCGTCCATTACCAGCTCTGCGTGGTTGGCCAATGATTTAACCCCTCTGCCCTGAATATGATCACAGCTCTTTGAAGCTTTTACTGGTAACTAAACATCCTCTGATGTTGGAAGCTGTTACTCAGATACTTGGAGGGATACCCTTTTTTCCTAACTCCAGAAAATTGTTTCCATATTTTGAAGCACAATTTTATTCACCATAAGTTATTATTTTTTGATGAAGAAAATGTAAAACATGTTTACATGGATGCCATGTAAACACGACTCCAAAATTCTTCCCTGCGTGGAGCTGTTTTGACAGCTAAGTATGAAGTACGAATATTAGAAATTCAATGTTGAAGAAAAAAGTACTTTGAAATAAATTTTAAATAAAAAACAGCAAGGTATAATTTGGGGCTTGATTTAGTTACTTTGACTTATATGTCCTGTGTTACTAGTTGCTTTTCTTTCAAAAGCTCTTTTAAAATATCCATAATAATGTACTTCAATCCACGGAATCTTTTTTGAGTTAAAAAAAACTCTGAAGGTATGTTAGCAATATTATAAATAATTAGCAGAATAAATGCTATAGAGGATGTGGAATATTTTTAATACACGCATGAACATACACACACACAGAAACACAAACAATATTAAATAAAAAAGAACAAAGACGTGCTTATCTCTTTAACACAAATAGCTGACAGGATAATGCACATAAAACAGACTTGAAAGGCTTTTAAGATACAGACTAAGTGTAGTTATAAACTCAAGAGTGCATTTTAATTTAAAGACAACCCCAAATAAAGATGACAAGCGTCACGCTGATTATCTATACCAAACCTCACTGAGAACTAAGGCACGTATTTTCAAGAAGGCTATGTAAAGGTCGGTATGTTATCTCTCATCTCAGAATCACGTAGAACTCATTGTCACATGTGACTGCCATTCATGACTCAGAGTCCTCTGATAGTTGAGAGAACAGGCAAGTCTAATTTAGGAAGGGAGAGATGGTGGCGGGGAAGAGAGACACAGGGAAAGCAAGAGCATATAGTTCATAATACTACAGATTTCCATTTTCATACGAATCTCAACAACCTTGCAAATCATTTTCATTAGGCTACTTCCTGGTAAATCTATATATATTTACACAAAAGTGCTTTTAGATATGGGTCAACTATATCCAATAGCTTCAAGTTTAAATAAGCACATTTTTTTTTTTCTAACACAAAATTCTTGACAATAAGATGTTGGGGAGTGGGGAAGGTGATGTTTACCTAAAAAACCTCTAAACTGCATTATATTATGTCAAAAAAAAAAAAAGAAGAAAAATGGAAAACAAGCATACATTAATTTATAATCGATTTTGGTTCTTATTCTTACCTAACAGTCTTTCTTATCTATTAATGTTGGTAATATAAGGAGTGATAATTAAAATACTATGACTATAATACATAGCTTCCTAAATGAAACAAAAATTTTTTTCTATGGTTTAGGAAATTCAACAAAAGTGCAGATCCCTCCAAAACACTTTCCATCCAAAGTAAAATACCCTCAATGAATTTAGGTGTGACAATGTAAATGTTTAAATAAAATTTTAAAACAAGTAGTAACATTCATTTTAAGAATTTTTATGAATAAATTCTCAATTGACAGGCTTGTAGATATGAAATTACCAGCTTGTTTTAAAATATATTTTCTTCAATTTTTGTTACAGGTTAAATGTCAGATGCTTTTTAGCTGCTGACCAAAAATATATTGAATGACATTTGAATAAACTCTTATCCAAAGAAACAGATTCTAGAGATATACCATAGTCATGTAGATGGCAACAATTTAGAACTACTAAGCTGTGGTATTTGTTAATGGACTTACTCTTTGAAAACAAAGATAGAAATATTGATTGACTGTCAAATTTATGGACAAGCACAATTTATGAAACAAGTTTTTTTTGAGAGAGGAAAATATTTTGAGTCAATATTTAAAGAGATTGTTGATGAATGTTATCAGATATCTACTCTAAATTAAAGTTTGAATGTCTTGAGTTAAAAATTGTTGGACACAGAGATATAACTCTTAATTGTCAGAGTTATCCACATACTCAGATTATTTCTAATCTGATGGGATCAAAATCCACATGCTTTAAAGAAAATATCATTCCTAATCATCAGAATAGAGGTTTCCAGTTTAAGGTTTCCATTTCAGGTTTCCAGTTTAAGGTTTCCATTCCTTCAATTTCTATTTATTCAAGATACATTCAATTAATACTTGTTTGACTGAATGAATGCATAACAGAATTAGTGAATGTCTTGAGATAATAAAATAAATTTGGAACTGAATACTGAACTTGATTTTTCTGCACCAAGTGGAACCCCAATGCAGGAACTCATTTCTTTACTTTCTAAAGAAGAGAAAATGTTGCCTTATGTTTTAACTGATCATATTACATTTCCTTTCATCATCCCAGGAGAGAGTCCTAGCATCCACATCCTCCAGGTGAGAAGACAAGAGACCAAGGGAGACGTGAACAAAGGCAGGAAAAGCTAGAATCCTGGTTTTGACTCCCTCCCAAGTGGTTAATCCACTCCCCCACATTCCAATTTACAATAAAATGAAATTGGCACATGAACCTGAAAAGGAAGAAAAAAAGAAAGAAACATGACCAAATTGTGATGAATTCAGGCATATCCAATGAACTAACAGTGCATTTATGCATACCCAAAAAGGAACTTGGTTCTGAAATAGCAAAACTGACGAATACCTAGTAGGGAAAAAAGACAATTTAAAAATAATCTGGAAGTGCTCGAGGGTAGAATTAAAATAGAAAATTGACTTGCTTTCATTCTAAAGTGACTTAAAGAAGGAATTCTGATGAGCAAACATATTAAAGATGGAAGAGCCTTCCTTTTCCTACAGAAATTCTGTAAGTTGTACATGGAGGAATATAACAAATTTGCAATTATTGAATCAGAATATGCCAGTGATGCAGAAATACAGCTTGACAGGAACTTTTTACTTCACTCTAGAAATTCTTAGTCATTTTTTGTGGTTATTAAGAAGACTCTGAGACTCTCTTGTCTTACCTTTGACAAAATGAACTGCATTCTAAGTGACCTCAAAGAAAAATCTCAGGAAAGACAAGCCAGAAGTAGATGGGTTAGCATGAAATAAAAGCCAAAGGTGAGATGAATGAAACTTTAAAACTAGCTACCATTAGAAGCAAAATACATGAAAAATTGCCTAAGAACAGGAAGAGAATGTAAAATGGTGAAGCACGAAGGAAAAAAATTATAAACACACAAATTCTTATGATCTAGATTTATACCAGGCACTTTCCTACTTGCATCGGATATTTGATCATTTGTGTTAGTCGCTGGGCTTGAATATCTTCATTTTTATGTAAATATGTTTGAACCTTCATGTACTTAGAGTACCATATGATATCTATGAGTTGTTTGAAACACAGAAATAGAGAAGTATAATTTATTGATTAGTACCTAATAGAATTCCCAATGTCATGATCTAGTCCAAGAAACATATTATGAGGGTGAATCCCTTTTAAAAAATCTGACACAACTGTCAGAAAACATTTAGTGCAACCCCAAATTCTCATTCAGAATATCATGATGATTCATTTATACTTACCCATCTTTAATGTTGGTGATTAAAAATAAACCATTTTTTAGCATTGAAACACATTGCACAAAATGTACTCTACTTTTAAGCAGGTGTTTATATCATTCGATTTCCTTTAATAAGCTTATTTAGAGTTCATACACCTGGAGAAGGAAATGGCAACCAACTCCAGCATTCTTGCCTGGGAAATTCCATGGACAGTGGAGCCTGGCGGCTACAGTCCATGGGGTCACAAAAGAGTCAGACAAGACTTAGTGACTAAACAACAACAAAGAGTTCATATAAAATTTGTGGGACTTAACCAATAAACTCTCCAAAGTTCATAGTATATTACTAATAAACCTTACATCATCAATTAAAATTGGCAATATAGAACATGTGTAACTAATTCAATCCATATACCTACTCATTTCATTTCAATTAGAGGAAAATGGAATATTTACCTGATTTGCACCTCATTATACACAACAGAATTGCAGGCTCTCTAATAAATAAACTCTTACCCAATCTAAAACAGGTTTAAAGACCCACACATACCTTTTAAGGCATTAAAGTATTGAGTTTTGTTTATATTTCCGAGGCCGATAACTCTAGCATATGATGAGATAGGAAATAGAAAACTGGGAGGAAAATCACATTTTATAGTTTTCTAATTATTTTCAGCAATTTTTTTTAATGGTATTGTCAAGGTGGTGTATTAAAATCATCCTGTAGGGTTATTATGTTGTTGTTTCTCTTCGTTTGCTCTTTTTATTACCATGACCACCAAAATATTTACAGTATTTGCAAAGTTATGATTGCAGAATGTTAAGATTACTGTATATTTAAGCAGAGCATTAGTACACTCAACTTTGAAACATTAAATATATTCAAACTGCAAAATTTTATACAAGAAATTTTAATATGCAATTTTGAAGAACTAAAATGGCTTAATTTCAGAATATATTTTAAAGCACTGTCTAAATATTAAGATGATCATCTTTGTAGAAAGACAAAGTTGCAAGAGTTTTAGTTTCTCATCAATACTCTCTTCAGTAAAACAAGAAATGAGCACTTTTTGGAAACACGTATGCCTGGAAATGTGTTGCACTGTGGAATTTTTAAAGCAAGTTACTTTTCTGCTCTGGTTATAACAGCAGCTGAGCTAACAAAACACAGTGCAAAATGAGGAACAAAATTAATAGCTACATATGCCCCAAACACTTAGTGATTGTAAGCTAAGAATGTTGAAAATGTTAATGATTTTAGCTAAAAAAGTTACTTCTACTTTATTACAAGTGTACCATGCTAACATATACACTGGGCAAAGGAGGTCCTTGTTGAATAGAAACACTGGGTTTGTTTGGGACTACACGTAAGCACTTTTTTGTTTGTTTTGTTTCTCATTATTATTAGGTTTAAGAACTATCTCATAAAAATAAATAAAGATCTTTGTCTTTTTTAAGAACATGTTTTATGTATGACTGAAGTTTTTACAACATCCGAAAAAGCCATCCGATGTTAGATTTAAAAATAAAATCAAAAGCATTTTCTGACATAGTACACATGAAAAATTGGAAATTCCAATATCTTCAATAGAAGTTGTAGAAAGTGTATGTCTCCTTGGAGCCTGACATCTACTTAACACAGCAGAAAATAAGGTACCATATACTGTAAACAAAAAAGTACAGTAAAGGACAGTTGTAAATTTACATAAGAATAGTTCATAAACATTTTGGTCTTTCCATAACAGTTTTTATATAAAATGAATAAAAAAACCTTTAGACAGCTGTCATCACTCTTGTTTGACCACATTTCACTTGATGCACACAGATATATTTATATAACAATATATTGATGCACCGTTACATGGATATTATACTATGATTACTGCTTGTAACTGAGATGTGCATTATCCAATCAACATTATCCATAGTTGAAATACTCTTACACTTATGTATTCTTGTCATGTTGTATCTATAAAAACATGAAAATATAACTTTACATTATTTCAATTATTTACATTAGTTCAAGCTTGACAGAGAAAAATTGATAAGCTACAATTTGTAGAAGAGTAGGCCCAGAGGTACATTAAATAGCATTGATTGTATATTGTCATCTTTTTCATTTTTAAAAATCATTTTAAGTATAATATGGTAACAATTAGTCTGCAATTTGGTCATTCTAGCATTGATGATTTAAACTTAAAATGCAACTCCAACATTCCTGATGAGGAGAAATGCACTAAAATTATATTGTTTTAGCCTGGAATTTGTGATTAGGGACAGCTAAATTTAAGGAAGAATATCATGATACCTCACACCACCACTTTCCATGCAAGTGATTGCTATTAAGACTCCACATTTCTCTTTCCCTTTGTGATACATAATAAATAAGAATGTTTTCAAGACACTTAGTAAAACGCCAAGTGCATGCCTGCAGAGATAGCAAGAATAAAAATATTAAAAATTATGACTGAATGTTAATAATTTTAAACTCTGAACTAATTACACTGTAAAGGGCATCAGTGGAAATAAATGGTCTTTAATGAAGGGAAAGATAGATCCTTTAAATTTCTCAACAAGAGAAATACAAGATCTTTAGTCATGAGTCACAGATATGTGTTTTAGCCACACTGGGCATTTTAAAATAG